TTCTCGCCACAAGTGGAGCGGGATGCTACCACACTGCACCCAAACAAGCCTATTTCTGGTTGAAACCTTTGGGCTCCATTTTTCAAACAAATGAAACATAGACCATATACCTTTTTCACCTTTTTCTGTCATATTTTATGAATTAAATTTTGATCCACTCAGGTTATCAACTCTATGCCATACCTCATTTTAATCTCATTCATATCTTGTAGAAGAAAAACTTCTTGTAGCTTGTCAAACATAGATAAGTGTCACAATCTGCCCACCTAACTCTTTTGCAACCATTCCAAGTTTTTCTCTTGGATATTAATTTTAGGCCCATTCCATTCACCTTTCCCACCTCCTATATCAAATAACAATGTATTTTGTTTAACATGCCACTTTGTCTTTACACTCTTTTGACTATAGTGCAATGCTTGGGCATAAGTAGGATATCTACCTTCGGATTGCTCCCCTCTCTTGTAATAGAGTTTTCTTTCCACCCAGAAATTTGTGTTTTTATGGCCTTTCAGCATAGATTTTTCATACATCGCTCTTATACTTTAGAGTATTGATGTGCATCTTTATGATGCCAAAATGTATTTTGTCAAGTTATCATGCTAAAGCATTGCCATCTTGTATGTTGAGAAACCTACAAATCCAAATCTTTGGTGCCATATGTTCCTTTCATTTATAGTGAAAACCTCCCATGCTTTACCTAACCTCTGAAATACTTTCCACATATTTGACTCCTTGTATTCCTCTAAAAACCTTGCGAAGAAGAACGTTGAGATCCTACCAGTTGATGGAAAAAGTCCAGTTAAGGGATTCACGACTAGAGTTATGGCTGGATGCATGAAGAGTGGGCCAGTTCAGAGGGTGGTGGGCCCAAGCTTGTATTTACTTGGGCGTTATCATGAGGCACACATGTGGTTCATTTTTATGTATATAAATCATGTATGTTGATTGTATATTTTAGCCTTGTATTTTTGGTTTCCTAGATTAGGGTTTTGTGCCAATTGCCAAGTTGGACCTAGTTGTGGGGCTACATGGGCTTTGGGCTTTATATGACCAATATTGGTCTTATTTTCTTTGTCTTTTCTATTTTAGAAATGATTGTATATGAATTTTAGACCTTGCATACATAGGTTTCTTAGTGTAGGAGTTTTAAGGTTAGGTGGGTTTTGATTTGAAATGAAATGCAATTTAGAATTCATTTCTATCTATTTTGAGTCATGCTTTCCATGCATGACTAAATTAGATGCAAATGAACCCTAAATCACATTCGTTTCAGATTTGAATGAGAAGAATGGCGTGAAATGAAGGGAACTACATGACCATGTGGAATTGAATTTGAATTTCAAATTTCAAATTCAATTCTAGATGCTAGAGTTTCCCTCCACTTCTAGCCTTCCCTCCATTTTGTAAACACTTTTGAGCATATATGAGTTTTCATGTTTAGAAATCTCTCTTCTCTCTCTCAAGGGTCATCAAGGAGAACACTCTTCCTTAAGCATTTTCCACAAGGAAACTTTCCTTGTGGATTTGGTCACAACAAGTTGCTTCTTCTTCACTAGAAGAGCTTCACGCCAATTCCTCTTCACCTTCACATTCTAGCCACATTTTCCTCCATATCATTCAGTCAAGTTGCAGCAAAAGACCTCAAGCCAAGCTACTTGGATCTGTGGAGCCATTGGAGAAGGAATCAAGCTTTTTCCTCCTCCTAGCTTCCATCACTAGTGGGATTGTTTTGAAAGCCACCTACCACTTTCCCTTTCATGTTTACTCCCGTAGTAGACAAGTAAGTGGTTGATTGGAAGATGGAAAATTGTTTCAAACAAAGTGTATCATTATGGCAGATCATAGTTGAGGTTGCAAAATTGTAAACATAGAATTGGATGGCTATAAAATCAAAAGGACCTATTTCCTTTTTTTATGGCTCATTATATACATACATACATATATATATATATATATAGGGATGCAAAGTTCCTAAGTCATTTTTAGAAAGTGTTATGGGAAAAACTAGGAACCAAGCTTGTCTATTCCACCATGTGTCACCCACAAACCAATGGGCAAACCGAAGTGGTGAATAGATCCCTATCCACATTGTTAAGGGTCATATTGAAAGGGAATAAGAAAACTTGGGATGATTGTCTTCCCCATAAAGATTTTTCCTACAATAGGGTAGTCCACAAGACTTCTAATCTATCCCCTTTTGAGGTTGTATATGGCTTTAATCCTCTCACCCCTCTTGACTTACTACCACTCCCTAATACTACTTCTTTGTTTCACAAAGAAAGAGTATCAAGGGATGATTTTATAAAGAAATACCATGAGAAGATCAAGAGCCAAATTGAGAAACAAACCCAAAAATATGCCACAAAGGTGACTTTTGAAGTTGGGGATTGGGTTTGGCTTCATTTGAGAAAGGATAGATTCCCTACTCAAAGGATGTCAAAACTCAACCCTAGGGGAGATGGACCTTTCCAAGTTCTCCAAAAGATTAATGACAATGCATAAATTTTAGATCTTCCCTCCGACTATGGAGTTAGTTCCTCATTTAATGTCTGTGATCTTACACCTTTTCTAGGAACTAATGACATGGATGAACTTAAAGATTTGAGGTCAAATCCTTCTTAAGAAGGAGGGGATGATGGAGGGCCACCCTTAGAGCTTCATTTTAGACCCATTACTAGGTCCATGGCTAGGAGAATGGAGGAAGATGAAGGAGATACCATGCCTAGAGCCATAGATTTGATAATCTAAAGGAATTGTATGAACTTGATCAAGATTTCCAATCCATCTTTGCTAAATGCCTCCAAAAGCCTTTTGATGGATATTACTTACTTTAGGGATACCTTTTTAGGATGGGAAAACTTTGTATATCTCAAGGATCCATTAGGAAGCTTTTGGTCAAGGAAAGTCATGAAGGGGGACTCATGGGCCACTTTGGGGTTGATAAAACCCTAAGTCTCTTAAAATCAAAATTTTATTGGCCACACATGAGAATAGACATCCAAAGGCATTGTTCTAAATGCATTACTTGTCTCCAAGCCAAATCTAGAGTAATGCCTCATGGACTCTATACACCCCTTCCTATAGCTAGCTCCCCATGGGTTGACATTAGTATGGATTTCGTGCTTGGTCTCCCAAGAACCCAAAGGGGATTTGATTCTATCTTTGTGGTAGTGGACTGTTTTAGTAAGATGACTCATTTCATACCATGCCACAAAGTAGACGATGCTAGCTATATTGCTAAGCTTTTCTTCAAGGAAGTGGTTCATTTGCATGGTCTACCCAAGACTATTATGTCCAATAGGGATGCAAAGTTCCTAAGTCATTTTTAGAAAGTGTTATGGGAAAAACTAGGAACCAAGCTTGTCTATTCCACCATGTGTCACCCACAAACCAATGGGCAAACCGAAGTGGTGAATAGATCCCTATCCACATTGTTAAGGGTCATATTGAAAGGGAATAAGAAAACTTGGGATGATTGTCTTCCCCATAAAGATTTTTCCTACAATAGGGTAGTCCACAAGACTTCTAATCTATCCCCTTTTGAGGTTGTATATGGCTTTAATCCTCTCACCCCTCTTGACTTACTACCACTCCCTAATACTACTTCTTTGGTAGAGGAGAAAAGGAATCATACAGAAAAATTTGGGAGAGAAAAGAGCTCACAGACCCAAAGTCCTTCTCTCTAAATACTTAACTTTCTCCTTAACCACACAATCCCTATTTATAGAAGTTCCGGAATGGTCAGAACGGCCTGTTCCGAATCTGGAACGACCCGTTTTGCACCCCTTCATCACGTTAAAAAAATCACATGCAGAATGGCCCGTTCTGAAATCAGAATGGCCTGTTCTGGGACTCATCCAGAACGACCCGTTCTCCATCTAGAATGGCCCGTACTCCCTCCAAAATGGCCCGTTTTAGTGTTTGGAACGGCCCGTCCTCCCTCCAGAACGGCCCGTTCTCAACTATGTTTTATAGGTCATAGTTTAGAACAACCCGTTTCCAGTTTGGGAATGGCCCGTTCTGGACTACTGAATCACCTATACTGAACTTTTGGACCTTTTGAAACAACTTGCTACGTTACACATTGAGATTTTTTTAAATGCTCTTTAAGATGTGAGATAAGACCATTGTTTTAAAACTTAGCTCGTAGTGACGGTCGAACCGATCCGACCGGGACTCAGTCAGGTTATCTATTCAAGCCGAGAGTTCAATCAGTTATGCATGCTCTTTAACATGTATTATTGTTTGTTATTATACAATTAAATTTAATAATTTATATAATATATTTTAAATATAAAGTTATATTTAATTTACTGATCCAATAATCTATAATTTAGTTATTTTATTAATATTATATTAATTATAACAATTCAATTCAATTAGTAACTCACCCATCCGATCCACTAATCTAATATTCTCACTGATTTGATGAGAAATTCAGTTTTAAAATACTAGACGGTTAGACACAAGGATGTCTCTGCATCTGAAAAAATATGAAACTAACCCTCCGAAAAAATATAAAACCTGTTAATAAAATTTACCTATGAAGTACGTATGCATTGATATTATTTTATGTATTATGTTTTACTTTCCCAAATATACAACATTTTAAGCTAGTTTCAAATTTTACTTGAATTCATTGCTTATAATTTAATGTTAGTTATTTAATTGAAAAGTATATAATTTGGCATTAAAAACAAGAATTGAGTATACATTAATGCCTACAATTCATTTTATTTTATTTCTGTATTATTTTTTATAAAATCGCAATTATAATCCTTATAAATTTGTTTTAAAATAATTTACATAATCATTTAGCAATGTCCTAACACGTGACATAATATATCTAATTACACGTTAAATACTATTTTTTAAAATTTTTTAAAAATATTTAAGACAAAAAACCACAACAATAGAAAAATTAAATGTTCAAAACAAAATATTGACAATTTTATTGAAACTAAAATCATATTAAAGACTTAAAACCAACGCTGGTTAAATAATCATCCCGAAATTATAACCAAACCTGTTTTGCATTCTTTTGTAAGTGGCTGTTTCATGTTTAGTTCACGTCCAACTGCTCCAAACACATGCTAAAATGAACATTACATGTAAGTTTGTCATTGCTCAGAGCAAGGGTAATTTCACAGAAAAGTATAGATCTCATAACTCATTGTTCACTGCATTCTAAGAGAAACAAAGACAACATTCTTAAACAGTATTATGTATGGCCAACGCATATATGTCTAGCTTGTCAAAAATCCCGGGTCACATAGCTGAAAATAACTGAACACGACAGCACCGAACCACCAGTTAACCCTGCGAAGGTTTTCTGTAAGCAAGCTTTCAGGAATCGATTTTTCTTGCACAGTCAAGGCTGTGTTTCGGTTCACGATTCTTAATTCTTCTATGCTTTAGCATCAGGTGCATCACTTGGATCTCTGCCCCCCGGGTCATTTATATCTACTAGTTCATTACTAGATGATGCTTCTGCTGTAACTTCATCGTCTGTGTCACTCTCATCATCTGAACAAAAAGACCAAGAAACTAGTAAACTACATCTAGAGCAAAATGAACACTCGTTCATAAAGGGATTGAAATATAAAGGTTAAATTACCCTTTTACTCAATTTCTCCTTATAGTTTCAAAAACTTGACCTATTTCATTTCATTTTAGTCCCTACTAGCATAAAAAGACACTTTACGCCTCCGTGTATTTTGTTAAAAAAATAAATGATAAAAGTAATTGAAATTGTATGAGTGAGCCATTAACAATTAGAGTGTATGAAAGGTTGAGTAGTTAATTAGAAAATGTGAAAAGCTTAAAAAAATCACGGGAAAGTAGAAAAGAAAGAAACTAAACAAAAATCTTAAAGGAGAGGCTTTAGAAATTTCAGCGGCAAAATGGTAGAAAACAAAAGTGTTCAGGAAAAAGACATCCCTTTTATTAATACTATAGAAGATAATAGTATACAGATACATGCCTTTTTGTTCTTTTTTACAAACTTATAGTTTCATAAACTTTATCATTTAGTTCTTATAACAATAAACGACATGAAGTAAAAAAAAAGTATGTGTAGAGATTAAAATAAGACATTTTTAACAATAAAGATTAAAAAGTAAAGTTTATGAAACTATAAAGATCAAGGGGATAATTAAACCAAATATATGAGAAAAGAAAAAATTGATCATGCTCTATCCCATTTATATCATGCATGGACAAAATTTGGATATACTCACCATCATCATTGCTTGCAGCATCAAAATTCAATCCTTCACCCCCTCCCATGTTCAACTTCTGCATAGAAAATGAATTTATGGTCAAGACTCGAGAGTTCCACATTAACAAACACCAATGTAAAACTATATTGTTTGAGCTATGGTACTTACAGAAAAATCAATGTCACCAAAGTCCATCTCAGATGTAGCTGAAAAGGAAAAATGGAAATGAGACGAAATAATGGAAATGAAACCTTAAATTCAGAATATTTTTTAAAATCACTAACGTTTATTATCTTGCTCTTGCTCCTCATCTTCATCAACCCATTTATCCCAATCCACTTTCAGGAAGATTGGAGTCTTCCCTCCCTGCTTCAACAATCTGTCCCACCACTTGCTCTCAGCCTTTTTCACAAAGTAGCAGATATTTCTTGAACCAGCACTGGCTTTGCTATTCTGAGAAGACATAGTAACACACCAATTACAAGATATATGGAAAAGATTTGGTTAACAAACCATCAGCTGGCTGCTCTTACATTTACATCAATCTTGTCAAACAGATCAATGTCAACTTCATAAGGAATCTTCTCTGCACCAGCAGTTGCAGAGAAATAAAATTTTCCTTCTGGCTCCAGTTTGAGCTTAACATCCTGGGCATCAGGCAACTCAACTGTTATGTAGAGTACATCAGACCTCTGGGCCCATTTGACAGGAGGATGGCGGCTGCATTATAATCAAATATATCAGGAGAAAGTTAGAGAAGCACTTTTGAGGAATAGATAATGGTAGACTTTCCAATAAGTGTTTGGTGATGTGAGAAGAAGATTAACAGAAGCCCAAATAAGAAAAGTGTTTTTGGATGCAAAATAAACTGATTATATCCAAGTTTAAATATATGCACTAATTCAAATAGAGCATGTAAAATAAGCTATACCTTGAGAAGCACTTATGCAAGTTTGGAGTTTTGACAATTCAGTTAGCCATCAATTGTTATGAAAACATCTAATTCTGCGTCAAATTTTCATAAAGGCTTGGATTCGTTGACTTTAAATTCTAGCTTGTGAAATGAACCCAAAATAACTTATTTGGGTTTCAAAATCTCTTTTAAGTACTCATCCATACAGGATTAACATGCTTCATAAGTTCTTATTGAAGTGGAAAAGCCCATGTTAAGTTAATAAATTCATCAAATTGAGTCTTAAATGCGGTAATGAAAGACCAATGAAACATTAAGAAAAAGTGGGAAACAATCATTTTGGTTCTTGATAAAGCTCATTAGCATTGAGCGATCCATGTGGTTTATCAAACCTAAAAGGATGCGATTGTTATTAGTTATTACCAAATTCAGAAATTTTATTTTCTAATTCTTCATCTACATGCAAATGATTAATCTAAAAGTATCTAAAAATTAGAAGATAACCCATCAAATATCTACCCAACAAATTTAAAAAAAAAAAAAAAAAAAAGGGAAAAAAAAGAAAGGAATTAATTACTGACCTACTTCCATGCAATTTCTTGGCTTCAATTAATTTAAAATATAAACACTTTGATAGAATACGTTTCAGACCACCAAACTTAGATATCAATACTAAAACAATTTATTTACTACCTGAAACTAAAAAAAAAAAAAAAAAAAGTGAAAAAAAAGAAAGGAATTAATTACTGACCTACTTCCATGCAATTTCTTGGCTTCAATTAATTTAAAATATAAACACTTTGATAGAATACGTTTCAGACCACCAAACTTAGATATCAATACTAAAACAATTTATTTACTACCTGAAACTTTTACCTACAAAACAAATTTTCCTTCATTAAATGTTCCTCAATAAAACATTGATTTCTTTCTTTTCACGTGGAAGCTTAAATCATATGAAAAATGTTTTATTAATCCATACACCAGACAGCTAAAATGAGTCATTCCAGATACATGATAATAGATGTCAGGAGATCCCCATCAATTGCATGATTTGCATCCATGATCATTAAGTGACAGATATGTTTAAGAATGAAACTACATTTCAGACACCAAATATAATCTTGTCATAGAGATCATGGATGAACAGGGCACCACAACAGAGACGGTTCCGAATTTGAATAGCAACAAAATGAAAAATAAAATAAAATCGAGCTAGCTGCTTACTCTATTTCTCACTAATAGCAAAGAAAAACCAACTCAGAGTGATCCCAATTTAACAATGAAATAAGAAAAAAATAAAATAAAATAAGGAGCAAGTAGCAATAACCTAAACCCTATTTAAAAGAAGAAAGGTGAAAAAAAATTTAAAAAAAGGCTACGAAATAACCTATATGTAACAAACCGTATAAAGATCAAGAAACAATATCAGTATATAACAAAATTATTATTTCAAGGAAAATTTAAATGCTATAACCCTAATTAATTTTATCTAAAACCTTAACAGACAAAAAAAAAACGGAGAACATGAAGTAGTAATAAATCCACAACAACAAAGTACTAAGAAATTTATCCAAATTAAAAAAATACTAAAATTCGCGAAAGCAAAGAGATAAACACAGTATCAGTATGGGTGTACTCTAAAGTTCTGTGTTGAACCATGTGATCAGAAGACGAACAGTTGCTAAGAAATAAAAATGCATATGTTGAAAAGGCGAACCTCATCTTAGAATATTTTTATCTCTGAAAATTTCTGAAGAGTATCGATTTTTTGTTTTGTTTTCTCTGCTTCAGCGTTCGGCCACCGGATGGTGAATGATTTTGTTCCGTCTCTTATTTAAATTCAGTCTTCAGAGTAGTTTAATTTATTTTTATTGTATTCCTCGTTTCCTCGCAACGTGTGCACTTTATAATTACTGAGGTTTTATAATACATAAAAATAGAAACAAAATCAATAATTCTACAACCTTAAATATCTTTTTAATCTTTTAAATTTAAGATAAATTTATTTTTTGTTCTTCAAATTTAAAATTATTATTTTTAGTTTCTATAATTTTAAAATTATTATTTTAGTCTCTTAGATCATCAATAATATATTTAAAAGTAACTAATTAAGACAGTTATGTAATATTAATTAGATTTAATGTGATATTTTTACTAATAGGAATATTAATAAGTAGATTTTATGCAATAATATTTGATAAATTTCTTAACAAAATTTGAATATAAAAATTAAAATAAAATTTTTTGAAATTACAAGGACTAAAAATAACAATTTTAAATTTGAGTGACTAAAAATAAAATTATCCTAAATTTGAGAGACTAAAAACATATTTAAGCTTATTATATACGTATCAATAAAAAAAACATACTTTGTGACTTGTTAGTATTGTGAGACGTGGGACGTGAAAATTGGTTATATTGCACTTTATTTTTAGAAAATATTTTTTATTTAAATTACTTAAATAAAATTATTGAGTTATCATTCATTAAAAAAAAGAATGGTACAATTATCATAATAAATAAAGAATAAAATATATTAAAATTTGTATACAAAAGTGATAAATCGCTTTTATATTGTTATAAATTAAATATAAAAAGTGAAAGTGATGTTCACCCGACTAATAGTAGTCATAAATAGAGCGAATATTTTGTATTAATAATTATTAAAAAATTATTAAACATAAAAGGTTATATTAGATAATAACATTTTTATGATTTTTTAATAGAAGTACTTTTAAGTTTTAAAATCATGATGCTTTTAATATTTTTTAATTTATTATTTAATTTAATTTTTATTTATTATAATTATTTATAATTAAATCTTAATATTAAAAAAATTATCAATAATTAAAATAATTTTATATCATAGTATAAATTAGTTGTCATAAATTTAAAATGTAATTTATATATTTTAAAATATATATTTATAGGGTCATGAATACCTGTTAATAGTGTTATTTTAACTCCATACATTTCCATTAAACACAAATATATCTTATGCAAAATATTTTTAAGAAATTTTGTTTAGTAAGAAATTTTTTATACATTTTAAATTTATTATTTAATTTAATTTTTATTTATTATAATTATTTATAATTAAATCTTAATATTAAAAAAATTGTCAATAATTAAAATAATTTTATATCATAGTATAAATTAGTTGTCATAAATTTAAAATGTAATTTATATATTTTAAAATATATATTTATACAAATTTCAAATATAATATTTATTTATATATAGTTTATTATAATTTTTAGTTGCATATAATTAATATTTAATATGTATATTATAATGACTAAAATACTAATTTAGAATTAATCACCATTTTATTCATCGAAGTCATGTAACAATCTGTCATTGTTCTTATGCAGATAATAACTAATAACTTAAAATTATAAGTTTACTGATATCTAGACATGTACTATTATCATACATATGAAATAAAAAAAAATAACTATATAAACATCTATGATATAAATGCAATAATCTAATAAAAGTAAATTGTACAACTTAAGTTGTCGGTCAAACAACCCTTACTACCAACTAGTTACTCTAAGGTATCACAAAACATCAGCATTGCTAATCCCAAACTAGCCTCCAAAACAACTTCCTGTGAAACTTATCCCTGCTCTGTTCTCATATCATGTATAATTATTAGAGTCCAAACCACATGGAAACACGCAAAGGTAAGCTATAACTCAAAAGTCAACATACAGAAAATAATTTATAAACAATATAGTACTTCATCACCTCTTAGAGTCAACAATATCAACTCCAACACTATTAACATATAATATCACAACACAACCAACTTAGTATATAGTAACCCAAGGTCAACACAAGCAGCACACATTGTCTCATAATTCAACGCCTAAACATGGTTCATTGTAGATAAATATTACATATGAACAATGGTTTAAACAACACATCATAAGCACAATGCAACAACTATATGTGACATCATGCATTTCTACTAGGAGATCTCCTTACAATACAAGGTGAATATTTTAAGTGGTTTGATCCTACCGAACCAACAATACAATGTGATCTTTTTGACTTGCTAGATCAACAATATCAATCCAAAACACAACAACTTGGTTTCTCAAATGTTGCCACTTAAACAAGAAAGTCTAGTACTATTATCGGGATAGAATAGCTAAGTATGAGCCTACCATGGTATTAGCTAGCTTAACTAAGCCTACTATAGGATTAGTCCACCGATTACCTCCAAATATTATACCTTTCTGATACTCAATTAGGAACTAAGTTCCCAAATTTGTACTTTACTTACTTGGTCAATTTATACACATATGGTTCAACCTAACCCACATACGGTACCAACTAAGGTCCTAGAGAAGATTCAGTTATCCTCTTCAAGGGTCAACTTTCTAAGAAGGGTTTTCAATAAATTGGATTCTCGGAGTACCACAACACGATATACACACAATGGAATATGTAACTTTTAAAAGCATTTTCTCCTTTAGTCTTAAGTTGATCAACAAAGTTCAACTTTCAACACCATGACTAAAGCATTATCAGCATTCATCATCTCAACTACACAGCAACACGACCTACACAACTCAACCCAACTTTCAATTAGCAACTCACAACATGATCATCAGCATACAACATATTAACTTTCAACATATATATTTTATTATCATACACATCATCCATACAACTTATTCATCATCATTTAGCAATAAAACAACTCAAACAACAAATGTTCAACATATAACTTATTCATCAAGTAAGCAACCAACTCAATTAAAAAAGAAAATAGTTGACTTATTTTTCATGTTGAGTGTGAAATCTCACACTAAGCATTAGGTTTTCGAAGAGTTATATAAGAAATTTTCATTTTCTTACACTAAGTATGAAACTCACGCTTAGCCTCAGTTTTCTAAAGGCACACCCGAGTTCTTACACTAAGAGTGAAAACCTATGCTTAGGCTTACCAACCCATAAATTTCTACATATATGAAGAACATCCCAACAACTATGAATATCGCCCAATCTCCAAAATTTCTCTACTTATGCAATAATCCATGCATACAACCTCAAAATATTTTAATTATAACAACATGCAACTCAAATATCAAAGGAAAAGAAACGTGCATCAACAACACCTCAAGGAAATCATCAATTTCTTAACTTTTCATCAAGAACACCAAAACCTCAAATTTCAACATGCAACCCACATCAAAATCAATCCCTAAAGCTATGAATCTCAGAGATTCTAACAACATTCAACTCATAATCCAATTAACAACTCAACAAATCCATTAACACAAGAATTCCAACTTCCCTTACGTACCTCGAGGTAGCATGGAACCAAGGTAAAAGAGGAGGAAAATGAGGTTTTACACACTTCATGATTTAGATTAAAGATTTTCACAACCTAAATCACAACAAACAACCTAAAATCAGCTAAGAAAGAGAAGAATTTTCATAGAAAAGCATATTCAAGGGAGAAAGAGTCCATAGACCGTGGTCTATCTCTAGAATTTTCTTTCTCTAAAATTATAAGAACTTGAACTTATGAGGTAGTACCCCGAATAGAAACCTGATAAACCTTGTCCCTCAAAATCAATTTGGACGTTTGTCTAGAGAAATTCTTAAAATCACATAAATTCATAAGACATTCTCGGATCTCAAAGTCACTCAACACAAAACATCATAACAACACATAAATTACTTAAAAACATCAACTCTAAAACTTGCAATATTACATGTCACAATATTATTTTGAAATTAAGAAAATTTTAAATAAATTCTTAAAAAAAGTATAATCCACCAATCACCTAAATAAAAAATTAAAAAATGTATTACTTAAATAATAATATCAATGTGTGTTTAAGGACCAAAATAAAAGTGTAACTTAAGTTTAAAGACTTAAATAAAACCATTGAAAAATTTAAGAAAATTTTAAAATTCTTAATTTAGAAACTAATATGATATAGTGTGTTACAAATGATAGTTTATTAACAATTAAAATTAATCTAATAATAAGAGTTAAAATTATATATATATATGTGTGTAATATTTTAAATTTAAAATTTTATTATCATCATTATAATTATTATTAATATAATTCATATAAAATGTAGTTTACTCATCTTGCTACCTTTTTTTTTTAAGATAAGAAAGATTATAAAGATGATCGCAATGAGAATTGAACCTAAGTCTTCATGTTTCTAACTATCCCAACCCCTTCCTACCCAACCATTAGACTAACCCTAATGATCACTACTTATCTTGCTACCTAAGTTAGTCTGTGTAGCCGTGTAAAATAAGCATTAAATAACTAAAGATTCATACTTGTAAATATGAAATGCTTTATATAATAATAAATAAATATTTAGGCAAACTGAAAAAAAGTGCAAAACAATATGCACTTTTACACTCTACACTAAGATAATCACTATAAAAGTTAATAACTTTATCGTATGAAATAATTTGTAACTGAATAATAATGCAAACATTATTTAAAATGTTAGTGTACATATTATTTATTACAAAAATCATTCAAAAAAGTACAAATGAAAAATAAAGAGGTTGATAAAGTTTTATTTTTCTTTTCAGTTTAGTTTTCATGCATTCTCAATTAATAAAAGTAAATCTATTGTAGTTTTTCAAAGAAAAATGTTAGAGGACACTATTTAACGTATTTTTTATTAATTAAAATTTATTAAAAATTATAAAAAAATGTAAGTCATAGATTTTATTTAATGAATCCTTCTCTTGATTTTATAATTTTCCATAATTCTTTTATTAGTGGGAGATATTGTTAGAAATAGTATTTATTGTCACATATTTTGATAAGTTTTTATTTTATTTTTTTAAAATAGGATTAAATATGTTC